CTGATTGGACGATGCGGTGCCAAGCTTTAATAGCGCGACGCGAAATAGTCAAGATTAGTCACGCACTCACTCATATCTGCGTCACTTGATGCGTATGGGATGTAACAAAAACTAAATATTGAATGTGAAAAGTGTGGGTATAGGTCACTACACTTCAACCAAATCAATATACAGATTGCACCGATTTTCCCCAATTAGCACAAAATTACTTGAATTTCGGCATATACCCAAAATTCTAATGCATTTATTCACTCGTTTTACCCTAATAGTACATGTGACAAACTCTTAACCCGACTCCGGCCAATACTGTCTTGACGCAGCTCATCCCTTATGCCGCGTCCGCTATCTGATACTAAAACTCTAGGCAGTTGTGAATATACACAACAGGAAAATACATTTTCAAAAGAGGATCATGAGGGACAAAAAGAAGCCAAAAAAAGGCGATCGCAGTGGAGCTACATCCGGAATCAGCCAGAAAAGTTACCGGTGTGCCAACTTATTGTTTGGAAAATTAAAGGTCAGAAGTGTGCAAATCGTAAACCATTAGAGATGTTAGTCCATTTCACATTCATCGGGGCGTGGAAACCGAGCAGGGTAGCACAATATAATTAGCCTTTAGTGTGTGCTTGTAAGTATTTTTTGCGTGCACGTGCCTATAATAAGTGGCGACTGGAGACATGCCTGACTGGGGAGGTTACCAACCAAAATACACATTCACAACTGAATAGAATCTTAGGATTAGATGGGATTGTCAATTTTACGCGATTCATAAGTAGAAGAGAGGCAGTCCCCTTTCACGCCAGCGGTTGCAAAACAAACAAGATACAGGGCCCAAAGGATGAGGGAGAATGTGATGAGGATGAGGATTAGAAAGAGGATAACTGTGTTATGGGCCTGAAGCATATGTAGGAAAATCATCGGCTCGAATATGACGTAAATGGTGATTGGAATTAAAAGCTTATAGCTAGCTAGACTTCCGACTACCAGTGATTTTGTGTGTAGCAGAAAACAACTGACAAGCGCGGTGGAGGGGGCTAAATCTACCCCACAGGTCACGGCCCAGAAGACCTGCAAATGGCATTTAAAATAGGTGGTAAAGGCGATTATTCCTCAATAAATCCACTTGAAGCGACTCATTCTCAGGTGATAACGCAGAATGGTGTGAATGGGCAAGTGAGTTTGAGAAAAAGAGATGAACCACTAGAAACTATAACTGAGTAATATCAAAACGGTTGGACAGAAAAATGGTCGGGGGATAGGTTTTAACTCTGTGCTAAAGATGGCGACTGGTACTGACGATGCCCGCGAAATGTCGGGAAATGTACCAAGTGAATGATCTGATGCTAGAAATCATCATGAATACTATAGCAGAGGACACAGGACTAGGTGCGTTCCACGAGGTTTTCCTGTCGTTTCGAGAAAGTTGCAAAAACGAGTTTAAACCAACACTGTACAGCCAAAGGAGACTGAGACCAGGAAAAAAGCAACGTCATCTTGGTCTTCAAATCTGCAAAACTCCGTTAGCTCGTTTACAGGGTTTGCTTCCAAGTGGTTTCAGTTTGACCATCTAAATTTTCTATAAGAATATACTTCTGACAATGAACTTGGTTTACCACGTGGTTGACATCATAAGCCCAGCTTCCAATCATACTCGGTTTTCAATTTTGGTGCAGAAATCGTCTTTCTAAATATAAAGGCTGGAAGAGAAACAAGGTAAATGCTGAAATTATGTAAGGCAAGTCATATACAGTATATAATGAGCAGGATGAATAACCTGAAACCTTTGCAGTACAGTTTTAATACAAAGGAGTCTACCTCTGCAATTGGTAATTGCAAATCACAAGAATATCATCCGCCAGTGACGTATGGATTTGAAATTCTTTCTTTGAGAGAAAGCTCAGCCTTCAGGGACTCATTCGTTCCCAAACTGAGACTTTAATAAGTGTGAACAAACTAAAGTGATTTGATGGAATGTTTCCTTCACACATGCATATGTGCAGATACTAGCACTCTTATTTTATAAAATTAATTTTCTCGACTTACTATGTAGTTTTATATATATTGTAAATGATTAACTGATTTTTGCGACAATACGACAGTTGTCAATTATATGAATTCTCCATGCTAAAAAAGCCGAGAGAAATCAGAAGCTTATGAAACATGTTCCGAGCCATTTGATGAGAAATGTAGATAATGCAGTCTAAAAGCTGGACGAGGCCCCCGGTAACCAGACACTCCAATGAATTTTTATGATCCAATATAGGGGACTTTGGACAAGGAATATAAGCAAAGACAGGGGCGTTCAATTTGATCAAATACCCGTAGTTATTTGCACTCACCCATCCTAAACATACTTTCATTTTCGACCTCTAATTAAGCGTGTAGGTCATTTTTATGTGATAGTTAAGTGTTATATGGGCCATCTATCTTCAAGGTATAAATATCACTTGGAAAAAGGCTCTAATTAACCTTCCAGACACCATAATTTAGAAAACAAAAATAAATACATTTATTAGTGAATTACGGCGTGGCCTAGTCAGAAATATAACAAGATCTTCAAGAGCAATTCACCTGCTGAGCATCTTCAAATGGGTGGATCTTTTTTGCGTAAACGAAACGTTATTTACAATATCATAAATACCAACAGGTTAAAACGATGTACATTTTGTCGACAAATTAAATTTTGAATAGGTTTACAAGAAACAGAGGAACTATGAAAATAGTATATATACTTAGGTGAGGATCATTCAAAGAATGTATCTGTACAAAAAAATGAAAACTTAAAGATAAAATGAGATAGTTATAAGGAAAGTAGAGAGAGGGGTAATGAGACGCATAAAATAATGTAATATAAATTTTTTTTCGAATGGGCAATAAAGTTTGTAATTACATAAACTTGAACGCTGAAGGCCCAATTTTGTTTATAGGAATGTGTCCGCAGGTTTTCTAATTAAAATACTAATCGATTTTCAATCTAGAATCAGAAGATTCTGCAACTGTAGATGAAGAATTGATTTCTTTAGGCTTCAGCAACATTCCTGACTTTTTGGATCTGCGAAAAAAAGAAATCAAGTTTAGGATTTGACTCAGCCAGCTCTTGGATTTATCTGGTAGTTTCACTTTAAGGCAGCCGGTAGTAGCCTTATGGATGGTTCCGAAGAGCATAGCGATAAGAGAGCATACAAGGCAGAGCACGTTGAAGGGCATACTAAAATCGGGCGTCGGCATGGTTATCAATACTGCAGGCGTATGAAGGCGAAAAAAGGTGGCGCCCTTAGCAGCGTCTTGATAAGAACGATTGGTATAAACCAAACCGCTGAAATAGATAAAGATTAACAGTGAAAGCAGGAATTGAAATTAATTACAATGAGATTAATTTTACTTGCTGAGTTAACAGAAAAACAACTGATAAAAATTATAACAGAATCAAGTAAACAGTAATCGATGCCTAAAAATCACGATAACATCATTATTGACCAAATGTTACATATCCAAAACAATAATTCTCCCATTCTCACTTGATATTTCATGCGTATTCTAATGCACGTAAGCAGTTTTACACAGGATACTTTGACTGTTTTTCACCAGCCTGCTTACCGAATGTGGATCAAGGAAAAGAGGTGAATTAGGAACAATAAAATCATCTAGCCTAGGATATCAAAATTTATCATGAACACCATGGCAGAGGATGCAGGACTAGATATACTCCACATGGTCTCCCAGTCGCTCCGATCAAGTTGCGAAAGTAAAATCAGACTAATAGGAAACTGTGGCCCAACCCAAGGCCATCCAATATTAGTTTACTTATATACAAAAGATAATGAATTTTTTATGCACCCAAATTATTTACTGCCAAATTAACGATGCTTGTTGGTTGCATAATTTCGTGGCTCCACCTTTACCATTAGGACACGTTTTTCCGATTGGCTAACAGGCTACCTCTTAAAGGGACTCGCGTGGATCAATTGACCTTTTTTGTATTTAGATGTGTGCTTTATCATTCCACAAGTGTTTTTAAGTCAGCTATGAACTGATCGAAACGCTTGAAATGCCGTGTTATCACGTTGTTTAAGTCTTACAGTGTGAATCGAAACATTAGCCAATGCATAGCTTAATGCTTTATTTGAACTACTATATAGAAATATTCTATCATAAGGATAAGCATGCGTAAAAAAGAACCCTTTAGGGAACCACTACATTCAATATTTTTGTAGTTATAAACTGGTCTAACCTCGCTCTCATTACTTGATCGTTATCAAAGAAACCCAAATAAAAGCACTTTGTCTGAAGTCCTCTGCCATAGTAGCTTTTATAATTTCCAGCATCTCCCCATGGACTTAGTATATTCGAACAGTCGAATTTGTCATGATTAAAATGGCAGATGACTTCGGACAAAGTACGTTCATCTAAGTCATCCTGACAATAAGACCAAGTAGCAAAAAGATCAGGCCACTATGATACAGCGAAGAGACTACAAACAAAATTTAGTGAAATTTTCCAAGAATCAAACGAAACTATAGTTATATAAAGTTAGAGACTCTAGTAATTATTGACGAAAAGTGGACAAAAAATCTTTTTTTAGTAACAACTGGAGCGATATTTAATTACAGGTCGCTCCTTTAAATGATAGCCATGCAGAAATAACACCTAGGAATAAAAGAGTAAAGGATATCGTAAGGAAACCAAGTCATGTGCACCAAATGGTGTTGAGGACAAAGGTGCAGTGGCTGTTGTGGATAGGTTGAGTTATGTAGAAAAAATGATGCAAGCTTTGGATGGTACTGCCACAATCAAGGTAATCAGTATGGATCCCATAGAAACACTTAATTCAAGACAAACTGGAACTGGAGAAATGGAAGATGAATACTCCTCTTCAACGAGATACTAGACATATGAATGCATATGATCTGCCAAAAATACATAAAGATGGAGTCACACTTAGAATTATTGTAAATAATAGGAGAAGCAGTGCATAAAACGTTGATTTATTTGTCACTAGTTAAAGCAAATCTCCTAAACTTGGCAGTTTCAGTTAAGAATTTGTTAACTAAGCCGACGAACAGAAGATGGAAAGTGAGGATTTGCCGGTAAGTTCTGATGTTGAGTCAATGTACAACAACACTCCTGGAGACGATGCCACACAGTCTCTGCAATCCATACTAGATCAACACCTGGAGAGCTTAGGGAGTAAGAAGTGAAGTAAAATGCAAATAATGATACTGGCCAACCTTGCGATGCAGTGTACATGTTTCAGTTCTAATAGTAAACTGTATGGACAAACACGATGTCTAGCTAATGGATCGCATTTGTCACCAATTTTAGCAAATAATTACATAGCTAAATTTGAGACGCCTAATTCAGGAGACATTTTTAGTCTCTGTA